CTCCACTGCTTCCCCAATCTCTTTTTCCAATGGCCTCTGCTGCTGCCTCCAGGGATGCTCTCATATACTGTTCAACACAGAACACATATCATACATAAGTTCGGGTTGCTCAACAGCCCCTAGTTTGATATTTGATGTAACAAGATCCTATTAGCACTTTTCTCAGATACGTTCGAGATTAATACGAAATAAGTATATTGAGTCTATCATGGATACCTTGTCATAGCATTGGAATTCCCCAATTCCTGGAAATCTCCAAGTTCCATTGCTCTCTGGATAAGATGGATATCTGAGTTCCCCACATGGACCAGCTCCAACTTGAACTTCCTGTAGTTGCAAATGAACTTCAATATGCGACTAAGAAGATGAAGGAGAGATCTGAATGAATTGTAGATGCATACCATGATTACTTCTCCCAAGTAGTCCCGAAATCGATCCCGGAAGCTCCTCATGTAATCAGCATAAACTTGGATTGGTGTTCTTCCTTTGAGCACGGGCAACGAATCACATCCCAACGAGATGTATTCCGGATTCCTTCTGCCCGATTTGTCTGTGTAAACGAGATCTGGGTTCTTGCTTATTTCTTCAAGCACCCATGGTGGCAAAGGAATGCTGAAAGATAAAAGAGAGAAGGTTAAATGAATTTTGCAAAGTCAATTGAGAAAGAATCCTTGCTTGGATTGTTACCTGCAAGAATCTCCAACATTCCCTCCACACTGATGAAAAGACATGACTACTTGGAGCTTCAAGCCATGCCTTTGAACCATCTGCACAAGCTCAGCATAACCTTCCCAGTTGTATTTCATAGGTCCATCTTTCTCCACCAATCCCCACCAAGCATCCACCATAACTCCTTCCACACCTGCACTCTTCAAGGCCATCAAACTCGCATTCGTTGTTCGAGGTTTGTTCAAACTCCCTCCAAGACTAACCGTGTCAAGAGGAAGCATTACAAACACAGGAACTCTCAAGTCATTTGTGTGGTGATTCAAAGATAGAGAATGAAGTTTCTCCATTTTGTTACTACCTCTTTCCATCTTAATCTCCTGTAAGGAATTTCTTATTCGGAGACAGCTCGGTGGCTTCGCTTGCTTGAAGGAGATTATGCCATGGAGATCTTCAAGAAGAGGAGCCTTTATGATCTTGGTATCATTCAGATGGATGAAAGAAGTCGATGACCGTAACGTTAAAGTCATTTTTCAGCAGAACGTCTTACAAAAGAGAAGGTATAGAAATGTATGAAGATGCTGCATATATATGAACAAAGATCTCTGAAAAATGTTTACACACTTTTCAACTTTGAAGGAGACAACAAAGGCTGTGGGCTAACGTTTAGAAGGAAAAAGTACATAAAATCAAAACTTGTTGGCTTTACCTTTTCAAAGTCGTTTTCGACATTACGCGTTTATTTACTTCCGTATTCTTTGAATTATAAAAATCAAAACCCAAAAGTTAATTTAGAAGTTCTAGTTATAAACAATGCCAATATGCATCCTTCATTTCAATCATATCTATAACAATGCAAAGGCAAGCCAAACCATTCAAACTAACAAATCCAACATCTTTTCACCTTAGCCTTCTAAAGGTTACTAACAATTGGAAGCCTCCTTCTAAAGGTTACTAACAATTGGAAGCCTCTCTCTACCCGGTCCTCGAGCTGTTCTTTTTCTTTTGATGAATATATTCATAAGTTTCTGATCAAACAAAACCAAGTTCATAAATGTTCTACATTTTCCTTTGCTCCCTAACGTTACATCTTTAAAATTTCTCAAATGGATTCTGTTCACACCAGAAAAAGTAGCTGCAAAATCTGATCATTGAGAGAGAAAATATCTTGAAGTTACTAAAATATTTCTGATATTTTTTTGGGGACCAATACCCTGCTAACTGAACTTGTCCTGGTGCAAGCTTTAATTTTTAGCTACTCTCCAACTTTTAAGTGATTTTTGGTAGCTCTAAAAATACATCTTCAATGGCTAAACTCTGAGAGTTCTCAAAGATCAGAGATCTAAGTGACTAATATATCTTACTTTGAGTTTTGATATCCCTTTTCTATTATTTTTCCCCTTTTGGTAGACCAAAAAAGGGCAAGAGAAAAAGTGGAATTCTCTCTCTCTCCCTAAAGCTGAACACTACATCTCTTCCTCTGTTAAGTTTACTTGGCCAAAACTACGAGAAGCCCACAAAGAAAGTGATTTGTGGACTTTTCTTCACACTGTTATGTGTGGATGGCAAAAAAAACTTTGGGAATATTGAAGTTTTATTGGTGTTGGTTTCATTAGGATAAGAAAGACTGAAGAAGGCATCTTTCAGCTTACACATGTGGCTGAAACAAAGAGTTTTCTTTCATATCCTGGTTTTATGTTTTCTAATTGTAAAAACCAAGCAAAATCCCCACAGTGCTCCACTGATTGGAACTTGTTACTTTCTAAATTTGTTTCATAGGCTCCAAAGAAATAGTGATATTGAGCAACGTGCACAATGTGGTGATATGATCAAAATCTTATCTGCAGCAAGATTTCTAGTCTTATTTTGTTTTTTGGTAGGAGATTTTTTCAAAGATACCCATTAGAGCAAGGTTCAAGGAAATGCATCCACACCTTCAGCTTTTTTTAGCCTGCCCAACAGAAGGCCCAAACTTTGTAGACATCATGAGTTTCCCTTATTAAACTCATTCAAGATTCAAACACGCTTTGAACGTGCGACCTTCGCGTACCATAAACCACAAGCCTTAGCCAATAGAGCCACCCCTTTTTTCTCATCTCACTCCTCTGTTAGAAGCTTACTGTTATTGCTAGAACAACGACATTCTTCCCTTGAGGTGCTCAAGTGATTTCAAGGCTTTCTGTTTTTTTTTTTTTTTTTAATCTAACTCATGAAAATGAGAGGTTCAATTTGAAAGATGGAGACCAAAAGATTCTCATTGTGTTGGCAAATTGGATTGGAAAGGAAAGCAGAAACTTGGATTGGGAAAGATCCAAACTTCGATTTTGACAGTACAGTCTTTTAGACAAGAAGAAGAACTATGCTGAGCTGTGGCCATGTCATTGTTAGGCCAACCATTAGATTTTTCCTGTGGAGGTCATTAGTTCTTATCCCCTTCCCAAGTTTTTTTTTTTCCTTTTTCCTTTTCCCTCTCATGAAAGCCAAAAGGAAAATGAGGAGGAAAGAAAATAGCCTGATAGGGAGAAAATATTATTTTGATCTAAGGCTGGAAATTTTAAGGTCCCATCTGATAATGTTGCAGAATAAATGCGTTTCTCAAAAATTGGAAGCAAGAAACTATATTTGGAATGGAATTCTTTGATCCTATAATATTTTTTAGTCAAAAAACTTGTATTCCAGAAAATGATTATCAAATTTTAGACTCAAGAAAAACACGTTTAGCTTTCGACCATACTAATAAAGTTAAGGTTACATTTTGAGCTAAGGAATTTGGGTAAACACAACCACCAAAAAAGTACCAACATTTTGGGGTAAAGGAAGACATAGATTACATGTTCATTCAATTTCAAGGCATAGTTTTTTGTGGATTACCATCTTCATAGTATCAGTGTAATAGAGTTCAAATTTACATTTTCTTCTTTTTTTTTTACCAATTTTTATGGTACTTAAGTTCTAAATATGACAAAGATTAAGAGTGACCACTTGTATGTTTTAAACAAACTAATGTAAAGAACTCCAATGGATACCAATTTTGTTTTTAGACATCCCTTTCTTTGTTTTGTTTTGGTTTGTTTTTACCTTATTTTTTTGTGGGATGTTAGTGTACAAGTTTTATACTCAAGACCTTGTAGAAACTCTAGTTTAGGAGTTTTCGTTGGACCACCAACTCTCTCTGTTCACATTGAACACTTAAAAGGTCTCCATCTGAAAAGCCTAACAAAACAAATGAGAACCCAAAAAGCTAAGTGGTTACACCTACAAAACCAAGTGTATAGTACTGTATTTTATGAATCCAACCTTCTCAGGCTAAAGGTTTAGTCATCCAAATACTAGTTTAAGTCATTATACCTACAACCAAAATAGAAATAGATCATTCTCGCAGTGAACATTGTCTTGATCAATATAACAAAATGTACTAAGTAAGATGGCCATAGAGATGAAACTGAATGAACTGAAAAAAGACTACATTTCCAGTATCATAAGCTAATGGAGTATGCTACATATATGAAACATTTATAAACTTTACCTTGTAACTACCTAGCGCTCAAGCCCCTTGCCTTAGAAAACAGATCCGATAGGTTCATTGTCTAGCTTCTATCCCATAAAAGATAGGCTGTTGACTTTTCGGGAGAAATATCACAGGTGCACTAACCCCGTTGATCGGTGAAACTGTAGAAAAAAGTGTTTCCTATTTCATGGAGATAAGAAGAATAATATGACTAACTCCTAAACAAAAAAGATATGAAAGAAATGAAACTTACCTTCCAAATGGAGTATGACAAAGACCTTCTTTCCCTTAAAATATCTTTGAACTCCGAAGATATTTGCCCGAAACTATTTCTCAGTTATCCTATGGATCTTGCAATCTCCAAGAATTCTGTGAAACTGATATTTTAGACAGTATCCAAGACAGAATTGACATTACACGTCCCTTTGTCTTGTCTTTTTTCTTTGCATACTCCCATCTCTTAGTTAGGGCAGCCATTCAAGTTACTCTCGTCAAAATGAACAACAAATTTCAACTTCAGGAACAATTAATCAAGATTTTAGATCAACAAGAGGAAGTTCTGCATTATTAGGCCTTTCCAGGCAAAAAAAGTTGACACTTAATCTCCTGGTTTGAACATTCCAAGACAATACAATATACTGAAACCATCGGTCAGTTCACAAAGTACCGATTGTGCATGTTTAGCATAGAGATGTAGGACACAGAGAGTGATGACCCCGTATATGATCCAAGTTCCTCCCCATGTTATAGAATAAGAATTGAATTGAATTGAATTGATATTACATAGTAGCAATATGCAGAGAAAGGTACAAAATGAATATACATATAGAAGGAAAAGTGAGAATCAACTCCATTTGGATAATGTTTCACATGCATTCAGTTTTGGGAAGAAATGAAAGCAAACATCAGTTGCTTGACTCAGTATCGTTACAAAGCATTTACAAAATAAGGAAGATATGAAGGCACCCCTTGCAAATCCATGTGATAATACAAAAGTTCAAGTATCCTCTAGGAACTAATGAGTACATCCTGAGAATCATGTTATTCCATCACAAAGTATTTGGTCACCTTCTAAAGATATCACTATCTCAAAATCTATGATACAATCCTTACTTAGATGTATACGGCTGAATTTAGACGAAATAACTGGATTAATCCCAGTGAAGGAACTTCAAGACTCAGCTACAGGAAACACAGACCCGATTTTGTTTCCTAACCGATAGCACTTGATATTAACAGGATATGGTCCGAGCTCAACATGGTTATCCTCTCCGCCAAGGAAGAAGCATAGTGTATACAGTGCAAGTTCAAACTCAGGGCTAACTCCTACTAAAGTGCTTGAGACAGATTTGAGAACACCATTCCATTCAAACTGAATGGTAAGCAATTGAGTTTCTGAATCAGGCTGCAGGGTTAGCAAATAAATAGTTAAGTAAGAGACATGGATTAGATTACAGAGAAGAGTATGCTTATCTTCCAGAAAGTGAGGCAAGCTCTAGAATTTAAAGTGGGAAAGGCTGATCTAATGAAAACTAAAGTTTGATGGAATAACACAAATTTAATCGCCTGAAGAATGTCAGGAAAATGAAGGTTATTCTTGTATGGTAACCACAAAAGGCCTGAATGATAAATGATCATTTAGTTTCTTTTAACAGCCTGAATGATGCTGCATGACATGGGCATTCACAACTTATTTCTTTACATCTCAACATCAAATACCACCAAAAGAAAAAACCGTGAAGTTGAGTTACTTACAAACTGGCCACGTCGTCTGGGGAAAATATAACCTTGATAGTCAACACTCCCTTTAGCTTCTTCAAGGTAAAACTAGATTTGGAATAAATGCACATGGAAAAAAAGTCAGACATAAAGGAAGATAATAAGTTCGGGAAACTCCAGCAAAGAAAATACTAATATTAAGAAAATGATAGGTTCGTTAGATTTGTGGACAAAATGTTATATTCATTTACGTACAAGAACCCAGTCAACTTCACAATTTAAAAATGTCTTCTAAGACGAACTGATCCAAGTTGTTCATTTCCATTTAAGGGGAGGATCCAGAGTTTACAAACGATGAAGAAAGATGTTACTTTCTAACTTTTCTTATTATATATATAATTCGGAAATTAGCAAATTAGAGAGAAAACCTTAAAATTTTGACCATTTTATATAGTTTTTTAACCTAAGACAAGCTAAGAGGGCAACATTTTCCTTCTTTGTTCCGCCCCGTTGCTATTGCTCTTGGTGAATACATGAAGGGCCTCAACGGTTAGATACAATATTAAACAGATTGATCATTTATAGCTTAAAATTTAAGCATTATCTTCTGTGATAGCTAATCTCAGGAAGGCACTAACCTGAAGCCAGTTGTGGAAACCAGAAACCTCTTGTCCACCTTGTTGCTTGATTTCTCCAACAAAAACATGTTCAAAGGCAGAAGAGGAATGAGATGTTCCACCCCGACCATAAAGATCGAACCACAGACTGGTCAGCATACGTTTGAAATCTTGATAGTCATTGGATGTAACTCCCTTGTATGAAAGGTACTTATGAAGGTACTTAATTGGTGCAGTTCTACTAATTTCTTCTATGAATGCAGCCTGCTCTTGCTTCTCCTCAGGTGTCACAACTTCTTTGCTCCCTTGATCGGGATTGTAGTTATCAAGTAGAGAGCAAAAACGTGAAAATGTTGGCTTCCTAAATACGTCTTCACTAACCCAACTAAAGAGGCTTGCTTGTGCCATATCTTCCCTTCCGTGGACCCTTTTTCCTTCACCGCAATCAATTTCATAATCTTGTCCAGGTACCAAACGATTTAAATCAAGTTCCCATAGCTTGTTACAGGCCCGGGCAAAATCAGCAAGCTCGTCCTCAGAGGGTTCTAGCTCAGCACCTACTTCCACCTCATCAGAATAGTTTTGTTCACTGGCAGGCCGTTTGTATCCTTCCCAATTTTCTACCTGCACCTAAAAATTTATTGCAGAGGAGTAAATTTTAGAGTTTGTTTGAACTCCAAGCAACTATCATGAAACCTCTCAAAGTTCACCACTATTCAAAAATCAAAACGACTTGCACAGAAACTAGGTGAAAATGCCACTTCTATAAATTAAAAATGAGTAAATTGAAATGCATGGTAAGCATGATCTTGTAATAGAAACATCAAACATCACAAATCCTCTGAATCCTCCAAACATCAGACTACCACCACATAGATGACGGCATGATCCCAAGGTGAACACCCATTTGTAGATTAAACATGATTGTTTTTTTTGTATGCCTTTATATATTATTATTATTTTTCTCAATGAAAGTTTGGTTTCTTGCTCTAAAAAAAGGAAAAAATCAAAAAAGATAGTACGATTGGAAAAGGTATGACTAATTATGCATCTGTAGCTAAATATGCCACACTCAAGATTTGCTAACCATAACTAATGCTACTGCACACCCCAATTATCAACTAATAAACACAATCAACTTTTAGTTCTAAATGAACATCATAAATGCCCATGATCATCATGCTTACAAACATTGCTTACTTCAAGAGCTTCACCAATGATTTCATCGTTATGTTCGTACACCATCCAAGTCAGGCATTCAGACTCAATGACATCTTGCATAACGTTAAGGCTCTCTTTAATGTAATGTATAAAATAACTGAAATTTTGTTACAAGTTCTCTTCCAAGCAAGTATATGGACTAATTGGCCATATAAAACAACACATCCAACATGTATTTGTCAAAATACTTTTCGTATGATAAGTAACCTTGTGATGTTTCCTAGGTGCCTTTTTGTGGACAGTCTCCCACCCATCATTGTTCTCCTCAGAGCTCTCCTGTGCCAGTTAATACCATTAGAAAATATAAGTGAAAAGAACTAAGTTCTCGTTTGATAACCAATTTATTTTTTATTTCTAGTTGGTTTTTAGATTTGGAACATTGTGCATGTTTTCACATTATTTTTCTACCATGAATTTCATCTTTCTTAAAGAAAACATTTGAATTCTTTGCTAAATTCATAAACTAAAACAAGATTTTAAAAACTACTTTTTTTAGTTTTCTAAACATGGCTTGGTTTGTGAAAATATATAAAAAGTAGATATCAAAACAAGGAAACCCCCATTTATAGGCTTCAATTTCGAAACCTAAAAATCAAAAACCAAATGGTGATCAAAAAGGGCCCAATCAATTTCATGGAATAGAAAACACAGAAAATTAAAGAACAAGAGAAAAATACCTTTTTAGCCCACTGATCTCTGTTGTAACCATGCTCGCTACCATATTCACCCTGTTCACACGTTTCATATGAAGTCAGCATTTTATCAATCAGATTGGAGGAAATGAAACTGCTATTAGGACTAAAATAGTGATAAAATAGTAAAACATCAATCCACGTAATTGAATCTAATAAAAGAAAATGTCAAAAAAAAAAAAAATTCTAATACAAGCAACTGCAGCATTTATCATCACTTGCGGGAAAAGTTCTCTTTCTAGAGTAAGCAACTTGATAGATATCAAGATAAGAATCAAATGATAAGACCTTAGAAGAGGTCGAAATAACAAAGCTTGTACAATTTACTCGATATACATGTATATATGTATGTATATATGTATGTATCTACATATAATATACAACACATACATATTTATGTATGTATATATGTATGTATGTAATTCATTGAAGCATGAAATTTACAAATGGGATGTAAAATTTATGACAGCAAAGCCTTAATATTCTTGAATGGGTGCCCCAATAGAAACTGAGATGAGAAAATCCTTAACATTTGTAGGACAAACCAAATGCCAGCCAAAGGAAGAATCTCCTGGCAAATGGACAGTATATAAAGATGTGACTCTGGGTTTCGTCATCAGGTTTACAAAGAGAACACCACCCAGGGGATAAAGTCATGAATAGCATAAGCCTTTGGAGAATATTTTTGGTATTGATGACTGTGCCATAGCTCCCAAAGGAAAATTTGGAGTTTCTTTGGGTAGTTGTCCTTCTATATGGGTTTAGACAAAGAGGTCTCAATGAGGTAGGTAAGTGATACGACCCATGTCTGCTAAAAGAGAATTAGTAGAGAATTGTCCATAGGATTAGGGATTAAGGGGCCATAACAGCCAATTCAAAGTTTCCCAATGTAAAGCTATGAAGAAGACCCTGTCTCCAGTAAACTCTGAAATCTTCACTCTACTCGCTCCATACCTACCATCCAACACTATGGAACTTCTTTCTTTCGATGGGAACTGTTCTATTCTTCAGAGGTGGGGTTATTGCCATTATCAGGGTGAGTGGTGGTGGGAGGGGAAGGCTTGGTCATGGTTTGCCATTTTCTAATAAAAAGTCTCTATCCGCTCAAGGCCTACACTTTCAATGGTATTATATTGTTATACCATATGCTAAGCAGTAATTTTATCCAAACCCCGCTTCCTACAAAATTATCAATGTAACAACTTTCTAATGACAGTTGAATATAGATTTGAATATCTTCATTCTCTAGTAACCATTAACTACAGATTCAAAGTAGTTTTATAGTTTCTCTCATAAATTCAAGAGTGTATTTTCTTTGCTTCCTATTAATTACCCAACTGAAATGTGAATCTAAACTTGCAAAATGCCTAAATCTCATTGGAAGGAAAGATCATTAGAGCGACTTGAGAGTAGTATAACAATGAGAAAAAATGATCCCAACACTTGGAATGGTGACGCAAACAGATCTAACCTGCTGTTGTTGACCAGAAATCCTCGAACCCTGAACCTCCCACTCCTCACGCCGCGAACGACCCTCTTTCTGGAAAAACGATCAATAACACCCCAGATTTCAATTCCACATAAAGTCCAATTCAAAACCACAAATACATTCAATTCCACAATCAATCTCAGCCCAAAACCGACCTCATTGTCCCTCCGATTCCAATCATTCCCATGTCTCCGATCATGTCCCCGATCTCCCCCATCTCGATCCGCATCCTCCTCCCCAGTGACTACCTGCACAATCCCAAGCCCAAATCATCACAAAACATGTTAAAAACCAAATCCAGTATCACAAAACCCAGAGGTACCTGAGCCCAAGTGGATCTGGATCGTTCGTCACGAGACTGGGAAGCCGATTGTTCGTTGTTCTTGTCGTCGTCGTGACCGATTGCAACATCTATGAGACCCTTGATTAAACCCTCCATTTTCAGATGCAGAGATAGAGAGAGAGAGTGAATTGAGAGTAGCGAAGGAGGTGGTTGAATAAAAGGTAAGGTCTGGAAAGATGGCGGGTAATTGCAACGTTGAAATTGAACGGAAAGGTGCCAAGTGGCTGATTGTGAGTGGTGGTTCTTTGGACTGCCGACACAGCTGGGTAGATGTAATAATGTATGTATAATTATTATTTTATCCAATTTGATTTCAATTCGTGTCCAAATCGCCTCAAAATATCTATGGCCGTATTAAGTGTTGATAGCTTCATTTAAGGAGTTGAGGGCAACAATTTTACCGGTTTGGATTGAAGAAAAGGAGGCCAGACAGAATGGATTATGCGGATTCATAAGAACTAGATTGACCGATACGAAATAATAATCATAGTTTCCATGTGAGGGGCACAATTAGTATTACATAAAAAGTTTTAGAATTTTGAGTTTTTGCAAGAACGTAGAAGGTGCATGAGGTTCACGCGCATGTGCCCGAGAGAGGGCAGACGTGTGAGAAGCACATGAGAGTGCATGGCAACGTGTGGTAGGTCTTGGTTCGTCCTATTTGACTCTTATTTATCTGTTCTGTCGACATCTATCAATATCGACCCTGAAACTTGTAAAATATGGTAAACATGTTGGTCGTGTGATTATAAACACAAGTAGCGTTTCTGAGCTTCTAATCAAGTTTTAACTTGTAAAATATGGTAAACATGTTGGTCGTGTGATTATAAACACAAGTAGCGTTTCTGAGCTTCTAATCAAGTTTTAACTTGTAAAATATGGTAAGCATGTTGATTATGTGATTAGGGACTTAGTCACGTTGATATGTTGTTGATTGTATGAGTAAGTACCGATAGATATGTTCGCATGATTTGATTACGAGCATGTTAGGGATTCATGACTATCATATATGTTACGTTCGTCTTATTTATGCTTATGGACCTATCGTAATATGAGGCACGTTTCGAAAAATACCTCTTTTTATGGTGGAACAATGTAAAAGTCACTAAAGGTTCACCAAACGAACTCTAGTGGTGATTATGCCACACGTACACTTTATAGTTTAATGGATGATAGGTTGAGGAGGGCATATCCCCTATTAGTATACTGTGCCTCACGAAACCTCTGACTGACGCACTTAATGCTAAGTTAGGACATGAGTATTTCTAATCGCTAGGTTGTTAGCTACTTTAGGTCAACAGAGAGGTCAAATAGACAAGTCATATTTGATCAAGTGCAAATCTTACCTATGAGTTTGAATATCATAAATAAGCATAAATTGAAGGAATATGAATAGGAATAAGCTAGTAAGAATACCTCGAAACTTGCATTGCCACCTAAGAAACCCAAAGTGTCTTTGGGCACGGGAAACTCCCTTAGAATGACGCTCTTCATTGGTAGCAATTTGAGAGGCAATACACGTGGAGAACTCGAGCCAAAACTAGAATAGTCAATCCAAGCTTATGAAATGAACCGATCGAAAACTTTATATGGACCATTAATCATTAATTGGATATCTTTAATAAAAAATTAATATGTGCACTCGTAAGCGGGCATTACAACTTGTAAAAATATATATATATATATATATTTAATTTATAAGTTTTTTATTTTTTTGAACAAAATGGCAAAGTTTGGATTTTTCTTAAATAATAAGGCCGATTCAATCACTTTTCATTGCTCTTGCCTCTCAACTCTCGAGCAACCTTCTGCGTGGGCTAAAACAATACCATTTTCATTTCCCTCACAAGAATGAAGCTACAATACAAATCCAACAACCAAAAATTGGGTCATTTATGAACAAATCAATCACAAAATAAAGTCTCTAATAAGACTCAATATCCGTATGAACTCTTCTATCGTTGCCCGACAAACTCTGAACTCGCCAACATTCAGGTTCTGGGTCGATGTAGATAACAAGCTCTTTGATCAAAAAAGTACGAAAAAGAAAAACATGAATGAGTTTTTCAAGCTTGCAATCATTATCCAGGGATTGCAAGCCCATATTCAGTATGATTCACATCAAATACCAAGCAAGTTCATATCCTTTTAATGGAGTCCATGTATGCTCCTGAGAGGAGTACTCTCAATCTGGACAAAAAGCTGTTCATCTTGTTCTTTGTACCATGAGGCAAAGACCTGATTGGACTGACAGATGCAATAACAACAAAGTTTTCACCATTATCAACGTCTATCCGGAACAAATCATCAAAAACTGATCTGAATTTATCTAGCAATGTCTCAAAGAACAACTTGTCGAGAGGAATCACATTCATTACAAGAATCCCATGTTCAGAAAGAATTGATCTAGCACTCAAAAGAACATCTCTCTCAACGAACCCCAATGGTGGAGCACCAATGCCGTTTCGAGCATCACTTGAATCCAAGTCAACCATGATCACATCATACTCGGAAGACTTGTGAACACCAAAGGATCCACACTTGCGCTTCTTATTCGACTTTGAAGCATTTTCAAGAAATTCGGTGGCGTCTCCAATGGAGATGTGAAGAAATTCGTTCTCTACTAATCCAAAATACTGCTGTGCAACCCTGAGAACCTCCATGTCCAGTTCCACACCCTCAACTTTAAAATCCAAATGGGTTGCAAGGAAGGTGAGCAGAGCCCCACCCCCAACTCCAATACACAGGGCTTTCGGTCTATGACCAGTTTGAATCTGTTCATCAATGGAGGAAGCAATTAATGAAAGGCTTGCCGCCATTGGAGGTAAGTAAGGATGAACTAGAACCCTAGTATCTGGTTTGAACTCGATGTTTTGAATTTCAACGCCATCTAGACTAAGACTAGCAGCAGGAATTATACGAATTTCTGTTTGAATCAGGTTCGGCATCCTCTTGAACCGTAAACGTCTCCTAAATTCCCTAGTTTCAAATATTTCCTTCCCCGATTCTCTCTCGATTTCCACATTCTCAATCAGAAATTCACCAACGGAAGAACCGATGCATCTCTCTAAAACTACTCTACATATCACATCATCGACGAAACTAAGAATCGGTACTTCAGGAATTCCATATTTGAAACATGATTTGGGAAATAAAGCAAGAAAAAGCGGCTGTAAACTCACCACCAGTCGACTCTCGGACGATTTAGCCGAATCCTCGTCCGACAAACGATGGTAAACGGAAAGCGAATCATCGGCCACCATCGGTTCTTGATTACCGACTAGAATGAGGCGCGAAATTCCAGGAGAATCGTAGAGAAGCTGATAGTGTCCAGATTCAGTGGAAAAAATCCAGTCCGTTTCAAGGCCGAACGGAACGAACATCACGGCCACAGAAGGGGAATCGGTGAATTGGATGGGTGAATCGAGCACGGCAAGTCGGAGAGAAGAATGAGAGTGAAATGGATGAGGGAAAGAAAACGATATGAAACGAGAAGGGCTTAAAGCTTCGAACATATGCTGATCAAGCGCCATTGATTTGGTTCAATTAGAGATGGAAAGGATTAGCAACCGCAACACATTCTACGGCGGTCGTCGGCGTGGCGTTGGAGGAAGCAGGGTTTGAGGAATCCATTGGAGATCCATTTGAGTTGCAGAGAATTGGGGATGACGAAGGCTTGGGGTTTTCTTCAGACTGAATCCTTTGGTCCGAATTAAAAGTTAATTTTCATGATACCCTAAAAAAATTTCTATTTCACACAACTTTTGAATATAGAGTTTTCTAATATTTTTTTCTAACATTAATTAATATTATTATTAAAATATGGCAGGTCCCAGTTGAGTTGTAAGGAATTGGTCCGGTTGACCTGACCAAAAAAATGTCAACCCGCACATTGACTCAAATTTTCGATTCTTCCGAAATTCAACTCAATCCAAATGTGAAAAAAATCTAACTCAACCCAATAAAAATTGCTAAGATATGTCATAAAATGATTATATTAACTCTTTTAGCTAAAAACCAGCGATAAAGAAAGAAATGGGAGTTAGCGACAATGTATAAATGACCAAAATGTCCTTGAACGTAGATTCAAGTACTTTGGTTTAAGTGATTTATAGATATAAATCTTATGAAAATATGATTAAGAGGACTCTAATAAGTTTACGGCTTTCGTGCATTTACCGACTTCTAAGATTTCACGTTAGTTTTGCTTCCAATAGTTTGATAAATGACTTTAGAACCCAACCTTGGTGCTCTAAGATCGTAACTAGCCTAGGAGCTTATCTAGACAATGCTAGAAACAAGTACATGAAATAAATCCTTAAGTTGCTCTTAAACATCTAGTTAAATATCATGACACCAGGGATATTCGAGTTAGCATACATTGCATATGAGTTATTGCAAACGTTATCATTAAAGTCGAGACTACTCTGCATCCTGTTTGGTATGTTATATGAACTACTAAAGACATTTATTTGAACATATTAGTGTTCCTACCTCGATCGTTAGGTTGATGATAGAATACTGTTGACTATGACTTCGATTGGTTTGGTAAGGTGGTGTATTGGGCAGGGAAATGGATAGGGTCCATCAACAAGGCTCTTGCTCCATAAACCCGCTTGAAGAGGGATGAGAGACAACATGGGAAACCAATAGTTGGCCGACAAGATGAATCACTCTCTATCGATGTAGGACAGTATTGACATTATTGATTATGTAGAGGGGTCGCCAGCTAACTTTTCATAGATAATTATAAAGTACCATGCATGTTGTCCATAACGTCCCTCATGTATTAAAACCAAATACAAAGACACGTCTCATAGATTCATGGCTTTTCCGAGCCTAGGCAAACATAAGTAAGCAAAGTAAAATGAGCATAATTGGCTCTCAAAACCCCACTTGTTCTAATTTTGGGTGTTGGTTTTAGATCATCAATTTTGAGCGTTCCTCACAATAATGTTTAAAAATATTATCCGTAACTCAGTTCTTTCATCGGGTGTCTCAAATGGCCCAATTAATGTTTTCAATTAGGGTTTCGATTTGGAGTCCGTATATACAGTGCTACCGGGTTTCTTTGAAATTCAAGTCCTACTACTATTTCTATGGGAACATTAAATTTTTAGAAAGAGACAGTAGTTTCTCCGCCCTAAGATACTAACAAAAAAGCCACAAAAGATACCTCGACTTTCGTCGAACCGAAGGCTGGACGAAAGCAAAACCATTTTTGGGTGTTGGTGGCAGATCATACATGTCATAATCATCAAATTTGAGCCTTCCTCATAATAATGTGAAAAATTAATTTCATCTGTGACTTAGTTTTTCACCACGTGTTTCAAATGACCCAATTACCATTTCGGTTTTGAGACTGTATACATCATTCATGAACTTAGCCTTATTTATGAACCTTTACAAGAATCCTAAAAGGACTTCTAGCATTGCAAAGTCTAGTATTGTTGGCGCTTATCACTGAGATAAGCTCTTAGTTGGAATCATTCGTGAACTTAGCATTATTTATGAAACTTCTTATCACCTGGATAAGAAACTCAACCTTATCTATATATTATAGACTTTTTTTTTTGTTCTAATCGGAGCATAATTCAAGATATTATTTTATCAATAAATAAAAATATTTAATTATAAAACTACTAGATTTAGACACTTTCTAACCCAAATGATGCAATGAGTATGAAGTCAAAGGTGATTATGAATATTTCACGATTCTAGTCGATAATATGGAAGGTATAAGTATGTTAATTAGGTCTAGTTTCTTAAATACTAACCTTTTTTAAACTTATTTGTTTCGAGAAGGGTAAAGATGTTAGTTGCTAATGGTGTTTGTTGTCACAACTTCACTGACAGAAAATAGGTTGTGATCCCCACATGCATGACAGACATTGGGCGACCTTCAAGTGGCGGCCATTAGGCTATGTGGAGCCAAGATTGAGAAGTGTCATGATGCAACTGAGGAGGATGGTGCATCATCCAACACACCAAGAGTGTGCATTCAAGCCAAGCTGAGGCATACACAAGGTTCAAGAGAACAAGGTAACACGAGCACACATTTCTTCCTTGAGATATCACCTAGTGTGAGAGTATCAAGTTGGTCTCTTGTAGCGATGTCGGGATGGCTTCACACGTGTGCTCAAAGAGTCATCAACAAGATGGCTTCATAAGAGTGTCAAGACCAGCATCCACTCGAAAAGAGAGCATCAAGTTGCACGTGGGTGATATAGTGAACGAAGTTGCAACAAGACCAAAGAAGTGTTAGTGCAGCATTTATCACACAAAGGTGGCCAATTGGAAAGTTGGCTGAAGTGTAGTGTCAACACGTGGTTGAGTTACAAGCTTCTTGACTTTGCTTCAGAAAAGGGTTATGGCCATTATAAGGGATGTCGTGATACACAAGTCCACAGGATGTGGCATGACGAGTGAATATTGGGATACAGATCTCTGTGCGGCTTAGAGAATACAAAGGTTTGGGCCCTGATAGTCACGTTTGGGGCGCACTCCTCCTAGCTCATGCGAGGAATATTGATGCTAGCTTTTTCCACCATGGTTTGTCTAGTGAGTTGTGAGACGAGTCCAAAAGGTGGTGAAGTTACGTCCCTGGAGGGATAGCCTACAACCATTGGGTAAGTTGTGTTTTGTCGTGCTTATGCTATGAGTCTCAGAAATCAAGAAAAAATCTGACAGTGGGATAACACAGAAGTAGTGTACAAGTTCTGTATTCATTATAAAAAAGTGAGAAATCAGTCCAATAATCAGGTCGTCATCGGGACAATGCCGAGATTAAGTGGGGGAGAGTGTCACAATCGACGATAGGATTGTGCCTCCAAAAAAGGCATCAAGGATGATGACTAGGTTAAATGGGGGAGAGCATCACAACCTCACTAAGATAAAGTAGGTTGTGACCCCTACACACAAAACAGGCAAGGGGCCTCAAGTGGTGCCCATCCGGTCATGTTAGGGCCAAGATTGAGAAGTGTCATGATGTAACTGAAGAGAACAATACATCATTAAACACACCAAGAGTGTGCATTCAAGCCAAACTGAGGCATACACAAGGTTTGAGAGAATGAGGTGACATGAGTGTCAAAGACTTGCTCGAAGTCAGGGTTATGGCTAGGTAGGCCCTAACCTCAAAAGTTTGAGTTTCGATATGATTTTCAGCATGCGGCTCATGAATTAAGTCCGTCTATATGAAAGATGAAAGGTTATCAAATTTTGTGTCAATCAAATACTTGATATACGCTGTATGGTCGTATAACTACTCATCAAAATGACGTTTACTCGAGAAAGATTGGAAATGCTTAAAATGTACTATAGGAGGAGGCATAGTGTCAGCTCTCCACCATCCCTAGGCCTCAGCAAGCTACCCTATGCCACATACCCTATGCCACATATGTATGTCACAGCATCCACGAGCGTTGTGGGGCAAACATCTTGGGCATCTTCCTTTAAAAATGTCTTACAAGGACAGTGTCAGACGACACAAGTGTGCCGACATTGCACCCCGGCCCATGTGTCGGAGGTAGGATTATGTACTTGTTATTTGGAACAAATTTCGTAAATGATTTGGCATGGACACAGGAGGCTCCAATGCCTCGATAGAACTCAGATAGATAGATGTTCGCGATGCCTTGATGAGATAAACAACACGCATATCAGTTCCAATTGATATGTCCAAGCAAGTCGTGATGATCAAGCTATTCCGAGAGATGGAACAACATCACGATGCGTGAATTGTTCGATGAGAACCTAGATCATGGTAAGATGCAACATTGAGAGACCTTGATATAGAATAGAGGCAAAGTTGAGCCAATTGACTTACCTAGTATCGAGGTAAGTTGGTGAGAGTCACAAACAATTAAACATACTCGCACAAGCACGGTATGCAGTTCAGATTCCACACCAGTTGAGATTCCACACCAGTTGTGTTCAGTTGGCAAACCTAGTCCAAAGTTCGACGAAGCCACAAACCTAATTAAAAAAAATGTGAACAGGACTTAAAAGCTTCCCTTCCAACCTTGTCGTGGGCGTGTTAAGATTACATAAAGCACGCGGTAACACTTGCTATAAAGGTCACCAGATAGTGAACATGAAACATCTCAAGTTTAAGAGATGTCTGGGTGCAATACTTCGTTGGAAGTTATTGATCACTCCACTCCAACCATGGCGGTATTAGAATTGATACTCAGTGTAAACAAATTATTCAATCAGCCGCGATGAAGAAAAACCACGAATGACTGAAAAATCTGAATATTATTTATCTGATAGATACCCAAAAAGAAAGCCAAAAAGATTATGGCAAAAAAGAAAGGGCAGATTCAAGAACAAGAACAAGAACAGGCAGAATCCATACATACAGATTTAACCTCTCGCTTCCCTAACCTCATATCTACACGATCCACAGACTGATCTCAAACCATAAAAAGAAAAAGAGTTCAATCCCAATCTCATGTTCTTCCCCTTCTGCAGATTCCCGTTTTCTCACTTTAGATCTTCAACCACGAAACCACAAACCGTTCTTCTTCCGTAGTTTCTTTAGTTTTTGTTTTTGATTTATCTTCGAGTTTAACTATATGTAAAATCTAAGCGGCGGCGACGGTGCTGGCGCGGAAAGGATAGTCCGGCGGAGGAGAGGACTTATTAGGTGAAGCGGATCTTCTTCTTTGTTGATCCTTTTTTCTCAGAGCTTTCATGGCGGCCGATGATGATC